TGAGTGCAATTATACACTAACTGACCTGAAAGAAAAGGTTAGAAAAAAGACTTGAGAGATCGTACTAGCTTTCATTGGAGTGCAATTATACGGAGCAAAAACATTGCAGGAAGGCTAAATAGCATGACTTGTCCTTACAGCTGAATGTTAATATAAGTTTTAAAAGGTGGGATCAATACGTACCATCTTTACTCCATGCAGCTACTCTACAAGGGGCTTTGTGGGACGTCACATAGCAGGTCTCATAATGTGCTGCTTCTGGAGCTAAAGTTTGAACTGAAAAAATGGTGTCCTGAAAATATCAGCATCCCTTTATTGAGTTTGTCAGAAAGTCGTCACTTAGTTAAAACTCAACTCTCTACGACCATTACATACATGTATTTAACTGTTCAATTTAAACAAGCAAAGTTCTATTTTTAAGATTGTTGTGCTTAGAACATGACAAGGTTGTGTACTGCATGCTCATACCATCAGTATCAAATTCCAAATCAATGCCAGTTCCTGGAGCAACAGAATCAACCAGCTGAACTTGAGCCTCTCCTGGAAGAAACAAATCAAACCCACACTCAGTAGTCACAAGTTGAGTTTTCGCATGGGCTAAAACTTGCTAACTCACAAAGCTAAGAATCAACTTGTGGACGAATACATTAACCCTAACCCTTCAGGGTGCTTTGGCTAGAAATTTTGCCAGACACATCAGTCTGATCATTTGTTAAAGTGACCTGCCTGCCCAATGTAACAAAATCCAACAGGTCAAACAGGAGTCTGTGGTTGTCAGTCAATGCAAGGTCCAACAGTGGCACCGTTCCGTGGGACTAGCTCCCATTTTCTCAACATGGCCAGTTTGTTTAGCTGCTGTTGATTACCAAGTGCCTCAAAGTGCATTAGACTTTTTCACCTGATGTACTGTGTCTATCTGGCAGGGTTAAGGAAGATACCGTACAATGTAAATACAGAAAAACATAGGGGCACTAACGGTCTGGCTCAGCTCTGAGTCCCAGCTGAACAACATGCTGTAATCTGTTTGATGGTGGACAGTCAGGGAAAGCATACACTGCCCTACTGAGTTGGCCGGCTATCTCATGGAAGCCATCGTGAAGCATCTGACTACAAATCAAAAAGACAGAAGTTATCAAAGATAATACTAAATTTATCATGGGTCTATGATACATTGTATCATTCAGTTTGGACTAATTTGTCACTGTCAAATGATAAAAAAGTAAATGTACACGTACATTAGGGCCGAGAAAAAGTTTATACTCAGGTTTACCATCTGAAATTGTTTTCTCCATGTTCACTGAAGACACACATCATCTTCCGTTGTAGCTTTGGAAAGACTTGAAGGAATCCTAAGCCTAGTAATGATTGTCAGGAAAAGTTGGGGTTCTTTCTTGAGCACAATCGATTACCATGTTTACTTACTGACTTAACCTACTCAAATTTTGTTTGGTTGTAGGCCTACCCCCAGAACTGTGGGGTCTGACGTCTGCAGGAACGTGTGTCCTGCAGTTTGGATTTCAGGCATTTAAGACATGCCTTGAAGTAGGGCTGTGGTGGCGACAGATAAGAGACAGATTGTAAGAGACTACATACATGACTAGGCCTACCTAGTACTACTAGTACAGCCCTTACTTAGCCTATGTCATGCAGGGTCTTGACGTCTCGAGCACTATCGTCAAATGATGCATATTTCTCACCTGATAATAAGTCGGTACATAAGGTCTCTCTCCCGAACCGTAAGTACCCCTTCTGTCATTATGGATTCTTTCAGTGAAGTAAGCAGGTGAGTTGCAGCAGAAAACGTAAATTTCACGCGCCAATTCTGTCGTCCACCTCCAATCAAGCAGCCTTCGTCGGGTGCATAGTATCGTCGTTTTTCTGTTGTATTGCTTTTGTATTTTCGAAGTCCGGAGGACAGACATTCAGACACCCTCGTTTCCAGAAATTTCCAAGGCTATGCTCTTGATATCGATTATCGTGGAGGAACTGATTTGGCCCTGTTGTCGATCATTTATACCGGCCATATAGCTATAGGTAGAGAGAACTTTATATATGGCTTTGCAGGAGAGGCGGTTTATAAAATACTCAAATAGATATTGGTCTTTTATCGTTACAATTGTAGACTTGGAGTCGAGTTCGATCTCTTTTCAAAGTAGTGTAAGTTTTCTTTCCAATTTAGCACCAATTATAATGTGGCTGTAACCATACAGGTAGACATGGTTGAACATTAATTAATTAAAGCATAGAGCAAAATACATGTACATGTAGTATGATGTACATGATCAGGTTGGGGACCAAACCCCAATCTAGCGACATCCCTAGTTTCTCCTTATGTCGCTAGTTCATGCGGCAATGACGTCATTTTCATCAGGTCACGTGATAATAATGTATTTTTCCCGCACGATTTTGGGAAAATAACGAGATCTGAAATGCCGGCAGCCAACACGCTCACACCTTTGCTGTTACCGTTGGAGTCTATGGCAAAATTGTTTTGGATTGCTGTTTTGGAAAATCGCCACGGTAAACATAAAATCTGCCACAATGAATCGATGGAGATTTATAATGGCAACATTTTCATGCATAAAGTAAACTTCGGCAAAGTTTCATCGGCAGATCTGGACTCGCCTGCCCACTGAATTCGACACTTCCAGTGCAAGATTTGACCGAAAAATCTCCTCGATCCGCTTTTATAGATACCAAATGAAAGGATAGTTTCATTTAGATCTTGGGTAGCATGTTTCCTTTAAAGTTGATCGATCAGAGGAATTTGTTTTGAAGTTTCTGGCCAGTAAAGAGATCGATGTTATCTGCGAACCGGGATCTAAAAATAGTTCAGAAATTAGGTCATCGTTGCACAAACGAGTGGCGTATGCATAGTCTGGCGTCATCGCTAGTTTGTGGTTTGGTCCCTGACCTGATGATGTAGCCTACCGAGTCTGGTATGAACATTCCCAGGTTGGCACATGGTTGGACGTTGTCTTCATTTCATTATGACATGCAAGACTGACCTCCGTAACGTAGTACTGTCAGGGAGTCCACCTGGGCTACCTGAATATTACTTCAAGAACTGTAACATAAATTTTATAGTATAATAGGGCCTACAGACCTTCAAGATGTACAAATTCCCATAAACACATTTTGGCTGTTTTGATTGTGCCAACTTACATGTACTCTTCCATCACAGCTATTTGTGCAACCAAATTTATTCATGCCTTCTTCAAGTTCTTGGTGAAGTTACTGTCAGATGGGGAGGACCTAGGCCTACATGTATATCCTCATTAATGAAAATGGTGAAATTCTTGAGCATTTTGCCCATCTGCACTACACATGCTACAGCAAATTAGCTGTCAGCTGTGATGTAGCTTGACCAATTGCAACAGACAAGACAGAGAGCTCTCCTAATCCATGTAATCCTATCTTTTCCTTTTGTTTTCCTGACCCCATCGAAATTAATGCTTAGCTGTGATAGGTCAGTTTAATGGAAGCAAATTGGACCAATCACAGTGCGGCTTTCATCTGTGGGTGACAGGGAAACAAAAGGAAAAGTTAGGAGCTGTGTTGCTAGTGGTCAAGCTATCACACAGCTGACAATTATTGAGAGTACATGCTGCTGATTTTCTGTGAGGATGGGCAAAATGCTGTAGAATTGCACCATTTTAATGAGGACGTAAGGTGAATAAACCTCCCCATCTGATATCTAACTTCACCAAGAAGGCGTGTATGAAATTTGATTGCACAAATAGCTGTGTAGGAAGATTAAGTTGGCACATTCAAAACAGCAGAAATGTGTTTATGGGAGTTTGTAGGAAATGGCTGTCTGTAAGGCTTGTGAAACCTTACAGTTCTTTAATTACGGTAATCAAAATTACTTTAATCTGTTTTGATCTTGTGTTAATAGCTACAAATTATCAATATCAAAGTATTTCCAAATGCCAATTGGTTTATGTTATCAACTCAATTAGAGAAACCGCTTTCTCCACCACACTTTCAACCAACACCAATATAACACTTTTCACAGTTAGGAATGTTTGTCCAGCTGATCATCTAGAAATTTAAAACATTTTTGAATACCTTTGTTGATCATCCAGGTGTATCCTTTAGTAAGCTCAAAGCTGCATGCCATACATCTTAGATTTCCCTCATCAAGCTCATCAAGCTTTAGAAAAGTCAAGAATGATGAATTGGTGATCACGATCTTACATGTATATACATGTATGTGGCGTCAGAACTACATGTACCTGTGAATGCTTGGATGGAAAGAGTTCTGATTCTGCTTATTTCTTCTAATTTGAGAAATATAAATTTCTCTTGCTTTGACTTGGAAACTACCAAAATGTGTAAACCCGATGAAGAAATGTTAATTTGAAATTGAAAAATTTCCACTTTTTTTTTAAAAGACATGCACACATGTGCTTACACTTTCATGTCATGGCAAATAGACTTTATTCGGGAGGTCTAAGGTGGTAGCCAGGCCTCTTACAAAGTTGTCCCATACTACTACATTAGTTCTAGAGGTCCCATAATACTACATTAGTTCTAGAGGCACCACACTACTACATTAGTTCTACAGGCACCACACTACTACATTAGTTCTACAGGCACCACACTACTACATTAGTTCTACAGGCACCACACTACTACATTAGTTCTACAGGCACCACACTACTACATTAGTTCTACAGGCACCACACTACTACATTAGTTCCAGAGGTCCCATACTACTACATTAGTTCTAGAGGTCCCAT